CGAGCTGCGCCTTCCAGGCGTCCTCCAGGTGGTACTTGAGGAGGGCTGGCGGGGTCGCAGTGAGCTGGAGGACTAGGCCTTGGCTCGTCTCTATCTCGAACGGGCTGAGGAGCTGCCAGCCTATTCTCTTGAAGCTTACCATGGGCCCACGGCGGGCACTCCAGCTTTTTTGAGGGGGTTGTTCAGCTTCTGTTTCAAATCACCATGATTGAACTTTAGCAATCCAGGTTGGGCCGAGATCCTCCATACCAAGAGACTGTAGTAAATGACGGGGCCCCAAGGCGGCCTTCCAGGAGGGGTCTCCCAGCAGGCACAGGATCAGGACTCGGGATCTCGTTGGGCTTATGGGGCCAACGGTGCTGAGGTAGAAGTTCTGGTTCTGGGCGAGTTCTGAGTCGGTCAGGCCTACCACTTCGCTCCCATAATGGTTGGCCTGGTGAAGGCCTGTTTTGTGAAACTTCTTCATGTCAGACCCGGCCTTTTTGATGGCCTGGAGCCTGCGCCTGCGGTGCTTCATCTTCTTGAAACGGAAGAGCAGAACAGCGCGGCCACGGCCGCTGCGGACACGACCTCCAGCCGTGTAGTCTATACCGAGATTGGCGGCGGCGTCGATCCGCTCCAAAGCCTGGGGTCCTGCTAGTGAGCCGAGGGCCTTGATCAGGGGCTCCCGAACCTTTAAGGAGGAGGCGAGGGCGGCTGACCTATGGAGGGCAATGTTGCTATCTAAGTCCTCCTCTATGGTGTCCTTCATGCTCTTTGAGGCTCCTGCAAGGGTCTTTGTCAGGGTCTTGGGGCACTTGTCCTGGGCCTGTAAAATGATGTCATATATAAACATGTGGAGGCTAGTATCTATGTTGTCCTGGACCCAGACATCGGGCGGCACACTGCAATACATCTGTATGACGTAAGTGGCGAAACTGCAGCCTGCGGGTACTCCATACTGCGGGCTGCCAACGAAGACTGCTCGCGACCTGTTGGCAACTAGACGGGGCGAGCCATAATGGTTGGCAATCAAGACCGCCACAGCTTGATTGAAACCCGTGCCAACCGCTCTGGAAAACCATTTGTCCCGATTGATGTGTTCGTAGTAGTTTGAAAGGTCCCAGAGCACCGCAGCAGTGAACCTGGGAACACCTTCGTAATGGGCCGGTTCCGCCTCGAGGGCCTGCAGGAAAACTGTCTCTAAGATTCCTCGTCCACCTTGATGGGCCAGATAAGGCCTCTTGTTTTGAAACTCCCATCGTCGAGCTACTGGCTGCCTTATCTTGGCCCAGAGTCTCCAGATCGAACTCATCAATCCTATTCCTCTGTAGCTGGGCTTGTCTTTGGAACCCTCCTGCTGCTTGTGCTTTGGGATGAGCATGGTGACGGTCGCGCGCACCTGAGAGGGCAAGAGGCCGACCGCCTCGAAAGCGTGCATGAAGCGGGCCACGAGCGCGAGCTCGGTGTCACCTAAGAGCGCAAAGTGCCTGGGATGAAAGCCGTCGTAGGTGGAGGCCGTGTTATGACTGAAACGCTTTGCTGCTGCTCTTATCATGTCAACAGTGATGAGCTTCAGCTCGGCTAGGGCTTCGGGGCTAGGTCTGCGATGTTTATGTTTCTGCTCTATTGGGGTCGTCTCCCAGATATCCGAGAGGCGTTCGGTTTCAGCTTTAAGTAAGTCATGCGGCCTACCTGACCACCTTCCGATCGAGGCTTTCCAGACATGCTGAGGCTTCCAACTACTGAAATCTTTGGTCCATCTGTGGCCCAATCCCACTCCGTGCTGCATACTTGTCTTTACCCATTCGGCCCAGTTTTTCTCGTCGGTCGATCGGTCTCGGTGAATTTCTCGCTCTCAGGCTTTATCGATGTCGACGAAGAGCTTATCGAACAGTTCCTTCGCTATTGCGGTATTTAGAGCGTCGCTACGAATGTCGACTAGGGCAGTTTGTAGGGCTGCCTGAACTGTTTGAAGAAGGGCTCCTAACTCGTCAACTTCACCAAATAGGGCCGGGGCCGAACCAAGGTCCTCCAAGACAACTTGAAAATCAGATTCTAGATCGCATGCTTGGTCTAAAGCACGCCGTGCGTCAGTAATCTTGTTCTTCAGCCAGCGAAGTGGGCCTGCAAGAGATCGCCAGCTGCGACGGCGAGCGCGTTCCGCTGCACATGCGGGAACCCATCGGAGCTGAGGTCCTTGACCTCGAAAGCGCCGGCTGCGGAGAGGCGTATCAGTGACCTTGCTTAGATAACTTGTTAAGTCGCTGGCCAGGATCTCGTAGGTCTGGTCCATGGCCCCGTCCAGGGCCCCGTAGTCTAACTTCTGCCCCAAGAAGGCTTCCATTTGGCCCAGGGCCGCATCGGTACGGGTCCAGGAAGTAGTTTGCGCAATGGGTCCCACGCGCAACTTCGTTGGGATCTCCTGAGGCTTCACCAGGACGGGCACCAGGAAGGGCCCATCTATGGCGAGGTCGAAGTACACGGGCCTGTGGGGGCTCAGGGGGTACTCCTTTAGGACCTTGGGCTTACTCACGTAGTCCTGGAAACAATCGGAGACGAGGAAGAAATCGATCAGGCTCTTGGTCTTTTTTGTGTAGAGCGTGAGGATGTATGAAGAGAGGGCCTGCACTCCTGCTCTAGGGCAGAAGTTACTCTTGGTGAGCTTGGCAGGCGAGAGGTTAAAGTCAGCCGCTACTATCAGGCCCATGCGATGCACCTGGCCGGGCTGCGCGAGGCTGGCGAGGAGGTTGAGGTTAAACTCCTTCAGCCCAACCTTGTCGGCAAATTCGGCTGAGGCTAGAATACATGGAGCGTGTCCTGGCACCTCCAGAGCTACGGCGGTAACTCTTCCCTTTGGCGTATTAGCAGGATAATCGACTCTTGTGACCCCGAAGTCGTAACCGTCCCTCACAAGGATGGCTGTGCCCTGCGTGACTGCCCCACAGTCGCTTAGAACCCCAGCCGTAAAACTTGCATTCCATCCACGCTTGCTGCGCCACTGAGCAGCATCCCAAACTTGATGTTCAAGAAGCCTGGCCTCCTGAGCACACAGAACGTGGATGGACTTGGCGTCTTCGGACTCGACGAAAGTCTCGACGCTTCCCCAACAGCTTCCATTGAAACTCATGATGCGGAGGATACCCCCCGGACGTGCGGGTGGCCCCCGAGCCCTCGATCCTGGAGCGGAGCCTCCTCTGGGCGTCCTCAGCAGATGGCCCCAGGGCCCCAGGAGTTCCGATCTGCGAGACCGCCGACAGGGCATGGACAGCCCGTTTGGAGGACCCTCCCTCCTTCTCCTCCTTCGCGTCGGAGAGCTCCATGTCGTCGGCGGCGGATCCCGCAGGAAGGCCCTCTCCACTTGGAGCTGCGACGGCTGCTGCACCTTCTGGGACTGGTGGGTGGCCATCAGCTGGTTCAGCTTTTGGTGCTTGTGGCGCTTGTTCTTCCCGTGGTTGCTCATCAGCTGCTGGCTGTGCCGTCGCCTGGACCATCCGATTGTACTCAGCGTCGAGCTCCGTGGCCATGGCGTTGACCTGTTGCTTGAAGCCTGGGCTGATCTCCGCGCCAGGCGGGAGCTTCGCCATGATATAATCCTCGAGCGCGTCTGATGATGCCCCATGTGCTGCACCATCTGCTCCTCCAGCCTGTTGGGCCGCTTCCTTCGCTGCGACCCTGAGCTGGCTCTCGAGCTGCTGGCAGTCCTTGTAGATGTCGTTGCACTCGTTCGCGGCCGTCTGGTACTTTTCGGTGAGCTTCTCGATCTCCTTAAGGTACCAGGCCACGTCCTTCTGCTTGCCCTCCAGGCGCTTGCGCTGCACTGAGAGCTGGTCCGACAAGCTCTGCGCCTGCTGGTCGGGCGACTTGTTTGCCAAGGCGGCGGCCTTGGCTGCTTTGAGTTCTTCAGCTGCTTGGAGGTAGTGTTGTCCTCCAACTCCTTCGATATTGCGCCAAAAATTGACGGCGGCCACACAAACCTGGATGGGGTCGGTGGTATCACACTCTGGCTGTTGAACTGCTGCGTCTTCATCAAACTGGACTCGACGGGCCCACCGATTGCCTCGCGAACTGGAGCGGGGCGGCTTGGGGGGCTGGGCGGTCTGCTTATTCGTATTGTTGGCCGACTCCGAGAAAGGGTTCCCGCATTTACCACAATGACGGTGTCCCAAATCTGTCCAGGACCATCCCCCACATGATGGCGTTGAACAGACCATGTAGCACCTCGGAGTCTTGGCCGTGCCTCTCGGGCGCGATGGGCGACGCACTGGGTCACCTGCTGGCGCCATGGCTGCGCCGCACACAGCAGAGCGGCGGCCAGCAGCAGGAGCTGGGCGCCTCGGCGATGGCGGCGGCGGCCGAAGAGGCAGAGGGGGCGCTTCTTCGGGGCGCCCGTGCTGGCCGAGGCAGCCAGGCCTTGGGAAGGGGCTGCCCTTCCACCTCGGCCTCGAGCCTCTGGAGTCGGGACGGGAGGTAAGCTCCGTCTTGAGCCAGGCTACGGGGGAGGAGGAGGAGGAGGAGGAGAAGGAGGAGGAGGGGAAGGAGGAGGAGGAGGAGGAGGAGGCGGCGGAAGACGAGGGGATAAACAAGTTCTCCTGCAGGCCCGCGGGTCCAGACTGTCGCAGCCCGTGGAGCCGACTGTCGGCTCGAGCAGGCGGAGGAGGAGACAGAAGGGCGTGGACTGTGGCGGGCACCCGAAATCCCACCGGCCCTTGCGGGCGAAGGTTGTCTAGCGCGCATCCCCTTCTGACCCCGTTCTCCCCCTTCGGGTTGGGGACTCCCCCTTCTCCAAAAAATCTCCCCCTCCCCTTGGGTCCGAACGAGGGGCGGTCGCGGGTCGTTGGAGCGTCCATCTGTTCCACTGCGTGGTCCCACACTTACCTGATCAATGCAACTCGCCTGGGCATCCATCCTTGGTGGATGGGCTGGTGGGGCTGCGCAAAGCCGTGATTTTCTGAGGATTCTGCGCGCGGGGCGCGCCATCCTCGAGCAAGCACGTGCGAAAACAATGTGATTAGCTTTTTCTGGTGCCCAAATTGGGAAGCTGCAAGACAAAGTCTACGGGGTCGTTTGCTTTCAACATTGGGGTTGCGAAGTGCGAAAGCTGTCAGTGGAAGAGGCTCCAGAGGCCCCCCTCGTATAAGCGAGGGATGGCAGCTCTGTAGGCTCGATATGGGGAAGCTTCTACATATAAACAGTTTGATGAACAACGCCCGTCGCTCTGGGCGCACCTCCCGCCACCAGGGTAGCAATGCCCCTCGGAACTTCGGAGGATCGCCTCAGCAGCCAAAGATCCTGGCAACCTCCGGGACCCTCCTGACACCCGCCGGCGCTTCAGAACACCGGGCCCTCGGTGCTGCGCACACGGCCAGAATGTGCATGAAAGGCTGACCAGAGCCACAGGAGGGGGAGAACGAATCAAATAGTAGACATGCAAACATGAAATGCTGGCTGTACCGGGCTAACGGCAAGACAAGGAGGAGCAAAAGGTTCGCGAGCGGAGAAGGGAGAGAACATGAAATAATGCTGCGTGCAAGATTTCTGTCAAGATGCTGGCGCAACGTTAGAAACACGACTCCCTGTGCGGATCATTGCAATCAGTAACCGCCAACAAGGGCGGTGGACGAGAAGCCAGTCAGATGCATCCGGTACATGAGGCCACTGCTCCGACCTCTGTCGTTGTGGCGAAAGGCTGCTGCATCCACTTGCAATCCCAAACGCTGTTCTTTCGATAACTGCCGTTCTCGGGAGTGTCAAAGCACTTCTCGCCGAGGTTGAACCGCTTCTCCACGTCTGTGGCAAGGAGGCTCGCCAGCAAAGCCGCGAAATTCGGAGAGAAGACCTCGGCCAAACTCTCGCCGGCGCCCTTGCGCAGCCGACGCTTGCCGAGAAACTTCGTGAAACCAAACAAGCTAGCGTACTCGAAGAGTTCGCAGGTATTCCTCTTGGTAGATTTCCAAGGGTAGTCCTGCGCGGCCATGGCGAACAGCACCACACCAAGCGAGAATGGATCTGTCATGATGTTGTCATAGGGCTGCGACAAGTGGACCTCTGGGGCCTGGTATGACTGCTTCCCCACGCTGGACGACGCCGACGCCACTCGGTCCAGCGTGGCCATTCCGAAGTCTATGATCTTGATCCTCAATGCACCGTTCTCATTGTGGAGCAATATATTCTCCAGGGACAGATCCCGGTGAGCGATTCCGAGGTCATGCAGCCATCTCACCCCCTTGAAGATCTGACTCGCGAGAGGGTGCATCGCTGCCTCCCTCCTTAGGCCAGGCTTCGGCTCGCGGTCGCACCAGGCGAAGAGGTCGCCCTCGGACGCCAGCGAGCTGACCACGTAGGTGCTCTTCGTCTTCTCGTCCGCGAACACGCCCAGCAGTTTGACAGAGTACGGGTAGCTGATCTCGTTAAGGCGCCTGACGAGGCCCACGTCCATCCACGGCTTCTCCACGGCGTCCGGGTACCGCGAGTCGAACTCGTCTGGCGAGCCGCGGATCCACCTCGTCGGCATCTTCTTCACGGCCACGAAAGTCCCACTCTCGCGCATGAGCTCCACACAGTCGTGGTTTCGCTTGGCATCCTGCAGATGCTTCACTCTTCTAAACCGACGGCCATCCCAAGGCAGGATGTCAGCAGCTGACGCGTCCATGCCTTCCCGCAACATGCTGGCGGTGAGCGGTTCGACCGCGTTTGCCTCTGGCGCGGCCTCCTCCTCTGCCGTCTGACCAATCGCGGTGTCCGTGTGGTCCACCAATGTGTCCAGCTGTTTGGTCTCCGCGGGCCCGAAGAATAGTTCCAGCACGCCACCGAGCAGCAACATATGGTCGACACGTGTCGCAGCACCAGCAAGCGAGGGCGCGCTTACGGCCTCGAGAAGAGACAAACTTTAGCGAAAATGGCTACGGAACTGGCACGGGTGCCGCCCATGTTACATCTTCTATGGAATCTGCTGCCCGCTTCGGCGCATCCCTCCTGAAGATTCTGCGCAAAACGCTCATCATCCTGTTTGTAAAGGAAAAGCGGGTGTCTGCGGACCCTTCGGTGACACGTCATGGGAACCCCCTTATACCATCTTGTTGGCTCTGGCGGGACCCACGCTAATCGACGCTTGTCGACGCTTATTGCATCAATTACCACATGCTAATCGACCCTACTGCACTCTGAAGACGGAGTGAGGTGACACAATGCCCCCATGGCTTGCTACGAAGGACAGTTCTATTCGTCGAGGATCCGACATGGGGGGCTCACTTCCCGCGAGCGTGCACCCACGAAACGCACTTCTTCCACTGAAAATTTGACGTGGCCCAAGTTTCGTCTGGCCCAGCTCGGACGTGGCACCGGGTGACAAGCTTACAGACTGCATGATCGATCCACGAACGAGGAAGGAGACATAGAATTGCTCTAATTACCAAGTGGGCCTAATTTCGCGCTTTGCGCTGCGCGAGGCGCGAAAAACTTCGCGCATTCGCGCCGACCCCCCAGGGGAGAAGAGGAGGATGAGGAGGAATTGGAGCCGAACCACGAAGCGCGATGCGCGAATAAGTTCGCGCCCTCGAGGGCGTTTTTGTCTACCTGAGAACTGAAAATCGAAAGAAAACCCTGGGCCCAGCCGCATTCCTGGAAAAGAAAACCCAGAACCCCAGGCTGGAGCTCCTCCTAAGAAACGAGAAAAGCCTGGACCCCCGTCCATTCCGGGGAAAGGTGTCGCATCCATCGAGCGCCAGTCCAAAGTGGGAACAACTCAGCTGGGGCTTCCCGGAGCTTCGGCTCCCCAAACCCTCCCCCACGGCCGAGGAATGACTGCACCAAACGAGGCCAGGCCAACGGAACGCCCCCCGCTGCTACACCCTTCCGGCTCCTCCTCTTAGTTGCCAGAGTAGCGATATGGATCCTTTCTCCTCCTCCTCTGAACTTCCCTGGGAGTGGTCCGGGTCCAGATTTTGAGCGGATTGTCGTCGCTGGCGGCGCCTTCAGGATCAAGGCGCGATAATTTCCAACGTTTGGGCCAATGCTGGGTCTCTGGAGGCGGTCTCGTCGCCACGGCCAGGCTCTCGGGCCAGGACTTGGTCAGGACGTGCACCCCCCCCCCCGGGGTAGGGAGGCCGATGGGAAGGGGGAGTGCCCAGACCTCCAGCAGCGTAAGCACACAAATCGAGAACTGCCTCGGCGATCCAGGGACGGGAGCCTGAGGGATGGGGCCCCAGGGAGGGGACGGGGTCCCAGGGAGGGGAAGGGGTCCCAGGGAGTCGAGATCCAGGATGGGGCCCCAGGGAGGGGAAGGGGCCCCAGGCTGACTCTGCAGGGCTGAGGGCCTCGGCCCCGATGGGCCTCGCCCCCGGGGCCTCGTTGACGCTGGCCCGCGCTTTCTGCCTCCAGGGACCACCGCCGGGTGCGCGAAGAGGCGGTCCAAGGACGAGGGACGTCGGGGCACCATGGCCTGGGGCACAAGTGCGGACCAGGGGGGGGGGGCGCAGCGAGTCGGACGCGCTACAAAAAAGGAAGGCACGGGCCACGACACCTGGGAGACGTCACGGCTCCCGCCATGGCATGCCCCCCGCCTCGCCCCTTCCTCAACGGGGACAGGCAAAAACCGATACCGCTGCTCCCAGACCTCTCCCAGGGTGCGCTCTGGAAAGAAGGTCGAGGAGAATCCAGCCGAGGTGGCGATGGCCCTCTGGGACGAGCAGCGGTATCGGCATCCTTCCCTCCTCTGACCTGCCGCGCCCCTCGACATGGCAAGAAACGGCTCAGGATGATGAGCCGGGCCCAGGAAGTGGAGGCCTCCCAAGTAGGGTACGAGCGGAAGGGGTCGGGGGATCGCGCCTCATCGCCGATGCATCGCCGATGCATCGGCGATGCGTCGGCGATACATCGAAGCCGCCCGCGCGGCGAGAATCGAACTCCACGACGAGCCGCGTCAGCGGTGCATCGGCGATGCGAAGCGCGATCCTCTTCGGCGGCCAGCGGCCAAAGAGCAACAAGGGATACGTCGGACCCTATCCCAGGCTTCGTGGGGAGTCTTCGAATGGACAAGACATGTTGGGCCCAACCATGGGATATCCTCACGTGCAGCTGAGCTCTCCTCCTGCCTCCTCCTCCTCCTCCTCCTCCGCCTCCTCCTCCTCCCTCCTCCTCCTCCTCTCCTCCTTACTCCTCCTCCTACTCCTCCTCCTCCTCCTCCTCCTCCTCCTCCTCCTCCTCCTCCGGGGGCGTCCATCCTCGATGCGGGAAGCGTCCGAGTAGCCCCTTGGGCTGCACCCCAGGGTTCCCCCCCTCGCAGGCGAGGGCGCCTACCCGGCGGGGCCGCGGCGGCGGAGGGCCGAGGAGGGCTCGGCGCAACCCCTGGGCGAGGGAGGGGCGGCAACGCCCCGCCGCTGCAGGCGAGATGACATCCGCGAGCGTTGGCTCTCAAGGTGACAAACACGAGGAGGAGGAGGAGGAGGAGGAGGAAGAGGAGGAAGAGGAGGAGGAGAAGGAGGGGGAGGAGGAGGACAGTGAGGAGTGGAGGAGGAGGAGGAGGAGGAGGAGGAGGAGGAGGAGGAGGAGCAGGAGCAGAAAGAGGAGGAGGAAGCAGGAGGGATGAGGAGGAGGAGGAGGAGAGGAGGAGGAGGAGGAGGAGGAGGACAGTGAGATGGAGGGAGGAGGAGGAGGAGGAGGAGGAGGAGGAGGAGGAGGAGGGAGGAGGAGGAGAAGACAGAGGGGCAGGAGGAGGAGAAGGAGGAGGAGGAGGAGGAGGAGGAGGAGGAGGAGAGGGAGAAGGTCGGGTGTTGCTAGAAGTGCCCCTGGCCCAGGGTGCCCCCAGGATTTCCAAGGGAGGCCTCCACGGCCTCCAGAGCACCCCTCGCGAGGCCCAGAGGGGCCCAAGGGCTCCAAAACATGGAGCGCCAAGCTGGTGGCACCTTGGGCCAGGGGCACTTCTAGCAACACCCGAAGGTGGTCCACGCAGCCACGCCGTGTCCAGAACCAGGGAGCAGCGAGGATCGAGGCGGAGGGTCGAGGATCGAGCTTGGTTATCCAGCGTTGGTTACCCTCCTCCTCCTCCTCCTCCTCCTCCTCCTCCTTCTCCTCCTCCTGCCCCCTCTGTCTTCCTCCTCCTCCTCCTCCTCCTCTCCTCCTCCTCCTCCTCCTCCTCCTCCTGGGAACGAAAACAGCATCGGGACACAATTGCATCGGGATCCCATAGGGGGACCTCTCCGATCCTGGGACTCCGGAAGAGGCATCGGGCGCCGCGGCCGTCCCCCGGCGCTCCAGAGCGCCTCGAGAGCGCTCGCGCTCTGGGGCGGCTTGCCCACGCCCTGGGCCCCCCGGCGGACCGAGGATCAAGTTCGTTGCCCGTCGGCCGGAAACGTCCTGGGCCCCCCCCCGACGGACCGAGGACCGAGCTCGTTGCCCGTCGGCCGGAAGACAGGAGTCGAATCATGAAGTAGGAAGGCGTTGAGAAATAGATCGGGTCTGCTCCCGCCTCCTGGCCTGGCGAGGCGAGCGGACCGAGTTCGTGACCCGTCGGCCGGAAGAAAGGAGTGGAATCGTGAGGTGGGAAGGCGTTGAGAAGTAGATCGGGTCTGCTCCCGCCCCCTGGCCTGGAGAGGAGGGAAGGAGGAAACGCCGCTCGACCCTAGAAATAACAGGGGCGCCGAAAATAATTACACTGGGCCCCGGGCATCCAGAAACACGTGCTTCAAGCGACCGGTTGATATGTGCAATTATGGTCCCCAGCGGACGCCCTGCGCCTTCTCCTCCTCCTCCTCCTCCTCCTCCTCCTCCTCCTCCCTTTCCTCCTCCTCCTCCTCCTCCTCCTCCTCCTCCTCCTCCTCCGCCTCCGTTTCGAGATCCGCGACGAATCCGCTTCGAATCCGTGTCGAGCGCGCCGAGTCCGTATCGAACCCGTGTCGAATCCGTGTCGAGCCCGTGCCGAACCCACGCCGCTCTCACGTCGACTCCGCGCCGAGCCCATGACGGAGTACAAGAACAGACTGCAATCTGCAGGACAGGACAGGCCCCCCGAAGATGCAAGGTCATGGCTCCCCCCTCAGAAGAGGCTGACAAGGGGCGGGCGGCCCCAAGGGGCGGACCTCTCGCGGCCGCCTCCCGGCCGCCGATGGAGCCGGCGCTGCCGCCGCAGGACACCACCACGCCTCGGGGCGGCCCCAGGGGTGGACGGCCGGGCAGCGACGAGGGGGTCCAGACCTCCAACGCACTGAGAAAATCAAGCCTGCTGATTTTTTCTTCTGAGCTTTCTGCCCCCTGTGCGGGCGAGAGTTGTATCCATATCCGCTGCGTCCTGGAGTCTCGGGTCCCCTTCCCGATAAACCAGTCAAAATGGATAGGCTGAGAAAGATAACCCCCAAAGAGGCCGTGTAGTATCCAGATCCACTGCGCCTCGGCCTTTTGGCGCCTCCCAGAAAACCCAAGACGCAATGGACGGTGGAATAAATCCTGCCCGCATGTTGGGGCCCTCGCCGGGCCCCGAGAGCGTGAATTATCCTGCCGAAGGGCCAAGCCATATGCAGTTGTGAATAGCGCAGTGCTGCGCATCTTCTTCGGTGGAGCTTCTTATCGGGCCACGAAGCGTGTGCGGGATGTGCCGAAATGGCTGGCAGGGACGGAAGTGGTCACAATCACTGGGGCTTTCCGTGAGCCTCCATATGGGGCCACGAAGCGTGTGAGGGGTGTGCCGACATGGGTGGCGGGGACGCAAATCGTCACAATCACTGGGGCTTTCCGTGACGCCCCCTATGGGGCCACGAAACGTGTGCGAGATGTGCCGAAATGGCTGGCAGGGACGGATGTGGTCACAGCCACTGGGGCTTTCGGTGGCGCTCGCCATGGGGCCGCGAAACGTGAGAAGGATGTGCCGAAATGACTTGCGGGGACTCATGTGGTCACAGCCACTGGGGCCTTCGGTGGTATACGAGGCCACGAAGCGTGTGAGGGGTGTGCCATATTGGGTGGCGGGGGCGCGTGTGGTCACAGCCATTGGTGCCT